AGTGTGTGTGTGTGTGTGTGTGTGTGTGTGTAAGAGTGTATTGATTTGAAGACACTTTTTTATGTAAAACAAAAGTCGCCTCACAAATAATATCTGAAGTATATAAATACAAAGTAGGGTCGTAGGATTTATGGCTTCTTTATTAATTCGTGTTCATCTTTCTTCACACCCTACAAAATCCCACATCTTCTCTTACAATAATACCTCTGATGTTAACAGTTTGACTGATGTACACATATCAAACGTTCACAGGTGAACATACACTCATATCTACACTCTCATACGAACGCACAAACACGTATGCAAAAAATACATAGCTATATAACACACAATCACATTCTTTGAAAAACCTTAATGCACCTGAACATGAAATGAAACTTTAAAAAAATGAAAGGAAAAAAGTAAAACAAACAAACCCAACCGCTGAACTAATCGCGGACGAAATAGCCAACACACACACACACACACACACACACACACACACACACACACACACACACACTGTCACACACACACCCACACACACACACACATTAACATAATATTAATTTTACAATTCACAAGAGAAGTCAGTTTAGCTAGAAGTCTACACACAATCACAGCAAACATAATAATATTATGAGATCGTCTGGACCTACATGCATAATCAATAAAATTCATTTTACAGGGCAGATTCCCTTTGGCAACACTCACCCAAGTAGAGCTAATTATAATCTCACACAAATCAGTTGATACTTTTCACATGATATTTGCTATGCCCCGAGAAAAAAAAATCTGTACATTTCTCCCCAGGCTTGCAAGATAAATACCTGTACATACAGAAAGCTCACCAAGAGTATCACCGATGTTTGTACACGAACAAAATAAAACCTACAACCCTCCCCCCCCCCAAACCAAAACAGTATAAAACACAAACAGAATCTGCAACAAAAGTAACAACAAAAACAATAAAAGCAACTACAAGAAATCCGTATCAGCAATAACAAGAAACGCAAGAACCACAGCCACAAGAAAGACAACAAAGACACGAATCAGAGCGAGAACAAGAACAAACCAACAATAAAAACGATTCCAATAAAAAGAATCAAGTAACACCGTACAAAGCTGAAGTTTATCGAAACAAAACATGAAGCAGCAACAGGGCTGAAGTTTAACGAAAGAAAATATTAAAATATCGAATGGCAACAGAGCTAACGTTTATCAAAGCAAAATAAACAACAGCAACATAACTGACATTTATCCAAACAAAACATTAATTAAATAGCGACAGAGTAGACGTTCATCGAACAGAAACAAAATATTAAATAACAACAGAGTGGACTATTATCAAAACAAATACTAAATAGTAACAGAGTTGACTTTTATCGAAACAAGAACATTACACAACAACAGAGTTGACATTTATAGATCTAGTAATAAAATAAGCAACTGCAAAATAGGTCACAACGCCAACAAAATTCTCAACAAAACTTAACGAGAGGAGATGCGATTAACAACATGAAGAAGAAGAAGAAGAAGAAGAAGAAGAAGAAGAAGAAGAAGAAGAAGAAGA